AATCGTGTTGCTGCCCCATCCCTAGAAGTGTTCAAGGCCAGGTTGGATGAGGCTTTGAGCAGGCTGGTGTAGTGGAGGGTGTCCCTGCCCATGGCAGGGGGGTTGGAACTGGATGATCTCTGATGTCCCTTCCAACCCAAACCTTTCTAGGATTCTATGACTGGGTGTGCGTTGTGTGCCACCTCCACATCTGGACTGCTATCTAAGGCAAGCTCCCTGAGAGCAGGAATTTTGCACCGCTGTTCTGCACCGTTTGGGTGACTGCAAACATCAGGTGCCTTGCTCAGATCTTGTTTCCTCTCTCTACTTTCAGACAGACAAGACAGGTTGCTTCTTCACAAACGTGAGTCTGTCCTCCTTCAGTCGAGACTTTCGGTACTATCAGGACAGCGTAGTTGCGGAGGCTTTGCTGGTGGAGGATGGCACAGGTAACTCGGAACATCCCTGGTGGCTGGGAAGAGGCGTGTGACGATGCGCTAGGCTCACCAAGAACACTGGAGGCTCCCAGACTAGCCAGGGCTCTGAGCTTTCTGAGCCCGTTGGGGCCTGTGGTCTGACCTCGCAGATACAGACAGAGGCACCATTTCTGGCACGACATGCTCGCTCTGGGTGCCTGTGGTCTTGGGTGGGGAAGCTCAGGGCCCTCTCCACGGGTTAGAGGGAAGTGGGAGGAAGAGGAGACACCATGAGCCCCGGGCAGATCATCGCCCTGGTGTAACGTGTGTGCAGATGAATGGGGGCAGCATTATGACCAGCAGGTCACTCTGCGGGGAGGTTGCTGGGGGGTCCCTTGGCTTCCTTTGCTCCCTCCCTGACCTTTCTGTCTCGCTGCTCTCATCCAGAGGCACGTGTCAATGCTTCCCGCAAATTACTCATCTCCAAGATCCGCGGGATGGCCGTGTTTGACGATGTGAATTCTTACTACCACGCTGGAGAGACGTACAAGGGCAAGGTAATTCCCAGTTAGAGCCCTTGGGAGGGGAGAGCGTGAGCGATGCCTTCACGTCTGGTCCGACCTCACCTCCAGCCAGGGGCTTGGGAGGGCGGGATCGACTCCCAGGGACAAAACTCTTGAGTTGTCAAAAGTGAGAAAAACACCCAAGACTGCCTTTTGCCAAAGAAGCCTCGAGGAGTAGCAGCTGTGGGATCCGTATGTGGGGCGCAAACCCAGGCTTTTGGAATTTCAGCCACTGGGAGGCCTTCTGCTGGGGAAGGGGTAGAGAGCGTGGGGGTGAGTGAAGGTGATAGTGCGAGTGGTGATAGGAGGGGAGCAGCAGCAGTGTTGGCAATATTGCTGGAGACTGGAAGGGTGACCTTGCTGTCTTCGGAAATGCTGCTCCTGAAGGGGAGAAGCAGGAGATTCTGCCCACTCATGAGACTCTTCTGCACTTGTCTTGCTCACCGCAACGTTCTCAGGTTAAAGTCGTCGACTACCAAGGCAAGGCACTGAAGCATAAAACAGTCCTCCTCGTAGTAAGCTGCGGTGAGCACCAGTGGAAGCAGAAATACATCACTGGAGACTCTGGGACAGCTTCGTTTAGCCTGAACACAACTGCTTGGAACAGAACCTCAGCCTCCCTGGAGGTAAGTGAGGAAGGGTCTCCCTTGGCAGGGGTACCCGTGCGTCTCAGAGCTATTTACTGCCCTACAGACGTCTGCCCCGTCCCTTCTTGAAGGACAGTAATTGAAACCAGGAACACCTCAGCTGGTGTGCTGGATCTTGGCTCCCTCTGAGATCTTATTCTCCAGATCCCTTTTGCTTTCCTCCTGAACTCTCCGCACAGGCACCTGTGCCACGGTGAGTTCATCCCTTCTCACCGAGCCGCAGTGAAGGTGACTGGCAGCTGACTTGTATAAGTAGAGAAATTAACTGTGAGGTTGGTGTGGTTTTTTTTTTGTTTTCTGTCTCACCAGGCAAGTGTCCTGCATCAAGATGATTTGGATAAAGAGGCTGAGACGGTTGATTTGAGTTACCAGCGAGCCTCTTATTTCGTACGTCCGTTCTACAGCACCAGTAGGAGTTTTCTCTCTGTCGTCCGTGTGCCGGAAAGGATGCCCTGCGGTAAAAAGCAGGCTGTCCAGGTGGACTTCAGGATTCATCAGGAGGACCTGGAACACGGGCCCAAGCGTGTCATTTTCTCCTACTTTGTGAGTTTCTGAGGAAGTGCTGGTGGGCGATGGCTCAGAGGCACAAGATCAGCATCTCCTGCAGGTTCAAGCCTGATGTTTGGTAGATGTGGCTTGGGACAGGTGGCTCATCTGGCCATCGTGGGGCTGGATCCTGGACTGCAGTGATAGCAGGAAAGGCAGCACCTTTCTCTGGGCTCTGCACAGACGCAGGGCAGGTGGGGGCCTCACCTGTCTTCCCCAAAGTCTCGATCTCCTGAGCTCTCCGTGCTACCGGAGAGTGAGTAAAACTCATGTCCCTCCTGCAGCCCCCGTTTAATGTCCAGTTTCAGGGTTACTTTGATCTGCACAGTGATCTTAGAGATGGCGTAACTGGCATTGTCTTCCCTTTCCATGTTCTTCCCTAGGTCACGGGGAAAAGAGGGATAGTCCACGCAGGTCAGAAGACTGTTTGGGTCGGGCTGCCAAGAAGTAAGTGCGCTCCCCTGTTTTGTGTCTAGCAAGCGCTCGGTGGACTGTGGCATCCCATCTTGCTGGGATATGTGGCGTAAGCTTCTTTGCAGTTCAGAGCTGTCATGTCTGAGCAACGTGCCTGTCCAGCTTTTGTCTTCCTTTACCCTCCTGCTTGGTGCCAAGAGAACAATATTCAGTGTTTTCCAGCCCCTAGGCTCATCCTGGAGCCTCCTTTCACTGCCCCTGGAAGCGGCGTGAGCTTTGTTAGAACTTTCCTGCTTCAATTTGCAACTGTGTCTAAAAATAATCTTTGAGCAGTTAGGATGCCACAGCTTATCGTTTTGATGGGTGTTGGCTCACCGTCGTCTGCTTCTCCAGATCTTTTTTTTTCAAAGCCTAAATTATAGGTGCTTTGGGGCAAAGGTCTCCTCTTTGTTGGTGGTGGGATGGGAGATGTTTGGTGATGGGAGGCTTTGAAAGATATCTGAGACTTTCACTCTTTGTGGAGCTAAGCTTGAGCTCCAAAGAGCTGTTTCATCTCCTTGAGGCAATGAACAGAACCAGGAAGAGTCTTCTGCTGGTCTTGGATACCAGATCCAGAAATGTGCCGATTGTTTCAGTGGTCTCCAGAAACCTCCTTGGTCCTGAAAGTCTCGAGGAAAGGAATTAAGCAAGCACATGCAGAATGGCCAAAGCTGATCAGAGTCAGTTTTCACGACCATATCTCCTTTCTTTTCTTCCCTCTCTCCTCCATCTAGTGCTGAAAGGCTTCTTCTCCATCCCACTTACCTTCAGCTTGATCTACGGTCCCGCTCCAAGACTTATTGTTTATGTTATCTTCCCCAATGGAAAAATCATCGCTGATTCTGCTGTCTTCAGTGTCTCCATGTGTTTCCGAAATAAGGTAGGATTTGTGGCTGAGGCCGTGACTCAATGTGTGAGCACGTATGAGTAAAAAGAGACTGTGGAACACGTAACACGTGTGACTGATACCAGGTGGGATGCTGTCACGTCAAGTGTTCCGTAACGTACGGAGCGAGGAGGTGCCAAGCATTGGGGGGTCTGCCGTAGTGTTTGGGAGAGGCAGGGAATTGCCATCCGTATCTCCGTAGGCTTGAGTAGCCCAGGAGGATCCCAGCCCAGCCCAGCTTCCCAGGAGAGCTCGGGGCCGCTCCGCTGCTGCAGCAGACACTTAGACTTGTTAGTTCGTGGTGTTGGGAAGACAGCTGGCCTTGGTGGTGGAAGAAGTGGGTTTTACTGGCCATCCAGAAGGGGCTGAGCGCTCGTGGCCGTTGTGACATCCATGGGAATCTGCTTTCTTGACTGTCATGCACTCCAAAGATGAACTTGAGGACTGGCATTGCCACCGCTGCCCAGCTGCTATCTGCTGCGGACAGCCAGATTCAACAAGAGCAGGAAATGCTTCAGGAGGTGGAGACCAGTCCCACAGGGAGCCTGGAGATAAGGACTGGGCTTATCTGAGATCTGGGGCTCTAAAGGAGCAGGAGAGCAGCCATGTGAGGTGTGTGATGGTGGCTGACTGCTGTGCTGGGCAGAGCGCGCTGTGTTGTGGCACAAGAATGTCTCCAGCGCCGTGAGCTCTGCACGCTGGTGGTTCCCCCTCTGCCATCTTTCCTGCTAGAACCTTAACATGCCCGTTTTTTAAATACCTTCTGGGGGGTCCTTGGGAGATTCCTCAGGTTTCCATTCAAGGCAAGTCCTTGGAAATTCTCTTCCCATAGGTGCCTTCCCTGCTCAGGAGCTGGTGGGGTGGCAGCAGCAGTGTCCCTCACCTCCTGCCCGCGTTCTTCCCCGCAGGCGGAGCTGAGCTTCTCGGTGCCCGAGACCCTTCCTGGATCGGAGGTGGGATTGCAGCTGCTGGCAGCGCCGGGTTCCACATGTGCCATCTGGGCTGCGGATCGGAGCGTGCCTGTGCTGAGGCCGGGAAAAGAGCTCAGCAGCCCCTTGGTGAGTGTGCTGCTCCTGTTCCAGCCCCTGTGCTCACCTGGAGGAGAGGGAGGCAGACGGAGAGTTATCTCCGAGGAGCCCAAAGCCGTGCCCGGAAGGATCGGCGGCGCTCTCAGCGTGGCACGGGCAGGGGTGAGGGGCACGTGTTAGGAAAGAGGTTGAACATCATCACTCAGTGCTCCCGTGGTCAATGAGCCTCTGGTGTTCTGTGGCGTGTTGGGCTCAGCGGGTTGTGCCGGCTCCGTCGGAGGAGAGCCGGGAAGGGGGGACGGTGTGTTCCCGGCGGGCACTCCTGCGCGGGAGCGAGGAGCAGTTCAAACCGCCCTTGGGGGTATGACAGGAAGGGGATGCCAGGTTTTATTTGTGCTTAATTTTTATTTTTTTTCCCCCCTTTTCTTGCTGCCTAGATCTCTGGGCTGTTCCCGTCTGTTTATAACTCCGGGTATCCTCGCCAAGTGTCTGAAGATGCTGGTTGGTGTGGCTTCCCAAATTCTGATGAGCCTGATGTGTTTACAGCGTTCAGGGTAAAAATGGTCGATTTGGTGGGTTGGGATAATTCATGAATTGAGGGAAGCGTGGCCCCCTGACTTTACCAATATCCTGGGAATGCCGTTACGGACAGTACAGACAATAAATAGGTCCAGTTTAGCCCCTTGTAACTCATTTGCAATTTGAGTAAGTGCCTTGAAGTTGTTGACCAGGAAGAAATTGTTGTGTTACTGCGCTTTTTCACATCTCCCTGGTGTGATCCAGGAGGCCAGGGATGCTCAGTTACTTTAGTTGGATTTCACATAGTACGTTAAAATTTCCGTAGCGTGAGCGGTTGCGCTCTGCCGGCTGAGAAGGCGCGTGCTCACCTAAATGACCATGTGTTGGAAAAAGAATAGATTTGCCTGACTCAGGCCAGATGAATTAGTTCAGAAGACCTTATTTGCCCATTGCTGAGGATCTGAATAATTCCCTCTTAAAATGAAGCGAGAGAATACTTTGCCAAGCCAGAGGACAGTGATGTCCCCACTGCGTGAGGGGACAAGAAGGCACAGGGTAGAGAGCACAGAGAGGCCAAGCTTCTGGTGCATCAGTGTTTGTTTTTTTTTTCCTACAGGAAATGGGGTTAAAAATTATATCCAACACCAATATCAGGAAACCCAGAGCGTGTCCAACCACTCCATCGACAACTATGCTGCGGGATACAGCAATGCTTACTTCCAGGCCCATGTTGATGTTTGCCCAGCCCCTCAAAGCACACAGCAGTAAGCATTTGCCAAGTGTTTCTTCTTATACGGGGTGCTCAGTCTTTCGGGGAGAGCAATTCTGAGTCTGAGCTAAGAGGCTGTGACTGCAGATGGAGGAGCGAGAGTGTTCCCTGGCTCTAGAGGAGGCCACGGAGATGATGTGAGGGCTGGAGCACCTCTGCTATGGAGAGAGGGTGAGAGAGTTGGGGCTGTTCAGCCTGGAGAAGAGAAGGCTCCAGGGAGACCTTCCAGCACCTTCCAGTGCCTAAAGGGGCTACA